GTTTCTAGGCATTACTTTCTTTGGTCTCTTTCCATAAGTTCAAGTAGGACCGACAGGACCAACATACCAAAAGGGCCCAGAGTAACTTTCGGTAGTGATAATTTTTTCCAAAGCTGTTGATTTTTGGCTCGGCCAGTATCTGGTGATCTCACTAACCGTCCCGACTTCGAGGTTGGGGTCGTAGCTTCTAGTTTTGATTGTTCTTGGTGCATTTGGCCTCTTTGCTACTTTTTTGTACGTCTTTTTTGGACATCTTGAAAGTCATTGGTTTCCTCCCTTTGATGTGATGTCTCCCCTTCTTCAATGTGGGACCTAACTTCGTAGTGTTGTCCGTCGATCTCAAAGGATTAAAGGACCGGTCCTATTGTTGATGGGTTGATACTTTCATCGTTAGTCAACAGTGGAGGAGAGTTATTGTTTTCCATATGATCAGAAGGAATCTCTTCATTTCCTGTACATGAGGGACTTAGTGTTCTTTCCATCTCTTTCTCAAGAGAAAGGGTGTGTTCACCACTAGTAGCTTCCAATAGTTCTTTTGTGAGAACTGGAAATTCCTTAAGGTTGATTGGAGAAGGATCAGAATTGAACTCTTTATTATTATTATAAGTGTCAACAGTGTGTGTGCCTTCCAATGCTGCTTCGGAAGACAGATTGTGTGCGCTGCGGCTGTGATCATTGTTATAAGGTATAGGAGAACTGGGTTCCATAGTACGGGTATCATCTTGGACGTTGGTAGGAGTCACCAATATTGCCTCGCTGTTACCACAGGCTGCTGGAGAATTGACAGTAGGAAATACTTCACAACCATCAGAAACTTTCTTAACATCAGGATAAGCTGCTTTACAACTCTTAGGAAGAATTACACCAGAAACTTTCTCGACTTTATCTGTGTCATCACAAACATTAGGGGCTGAGTCAACACTTACGCTAGTTGCTGGGATTATAGCAGCAGGTACTATGGTTGCCATGGCATCAAACTGGAACTGTTGGGGTAGCAGCCCCAGCTGTATTTGAGTCTGTTTCTTTGACAGGAGAAGCAGACCCGGTTGCTTCATTCTCATCACTTGAACCACCCAAGTTTGTATGCAAAGCAATCTCTTGTGTTGTTTGGGTCACTCCAGGCTTAGAGACAGCAACAACAGGTGCTGTATTCCCAGTTCCAGTACTCCCTTTAACCCATCTAGAGGTCTCATTCTTTCTCTTACAACTCTTGTGGCCAAAAGATTTGCATGAGGGGCAATAGTCTGGGAGATCTTCATAAGTGATTGGCTGTAGGAAGGTTAGTTCTCCCAGGTGAATCCAAACACAACAAGGAAGTTCTTTGCTGGTATCTATCTCAACACAAATTCGGGCAACAGAGGGTCTCGAAAGAGTTGTTGTTGCTGAATCAGTCCTTAAAGGTTTACCAAGCAAATTTCCAATTGAATATAGAGCAAGAGAATCAAAAAGATGTATGGGCAGCCCTTCAAGGCCTATCCAAACTGGGATTAATGGTGAATCAGCATTAGGGTCGAAATCAGGAGTCCATCGGAAAACTTTCAAAGTGAATCCATTTATCTTCCAGTATTTTCGCAACAAGCATCTCAGAAAATCCTTTTCAGATTCGAAATTGATCAAAATATGTCGTTCATCTAGGAGACTTACAGAGAAATCATTTTCAAAGGCAATTCGTTCAAAGGCCTTTCTGGTTGAGATAAGGCTTGGTCTCCCTTTGATGAAGCGTCCAACAATTGTGCGAGAGAATATGGATGAGAGCGCACTCACATCCTCGTCTGTGAAGGAGATGGCTGGCTGGCCTTTAAATTTGCGCGCTAGTTTGTAGTCTCCTGCATCTGCAATTTCGCTGAAGGTGCGTTGAGGATGGGAGCTGGACATGGTTGGATGATGGTCGCCGGACCGCCATGGCGGTCGGCGGAGACCTAGTCGCAGAGTTCAGATCTAGAGCGAGAAGTCATTATATATATATATATATATATATATATATATATATATATATATATATATATATATATGGATTGACTCCAATGAGATGACACCTTATGGTGCGATGACATGCTTCGGTCAGATGACGCAAAGCTCACCACTGCCCACTGCAAAGCTCACCAAGCACAACTACAAAGCTCACCAAACTGTAAGACAAAGCTCACCATATTATTTTAACACTTTGAATTTTTTTTGAAAAAATAAAATCAAAGGAAGGGGTGCTGACTAGACTTTGACCGTTGACTCCAGCATTGACCGCCGCCTACCGCCGCCTCCAGTCGCCGGCCGCCGCCGCCGCCACCGGCCGCCGCTGCCAGTCGCCGGTCACCGCCTCCGCCATACTCCGGTCGCCGGCCGCCGCTGCTCCGCCGCCTGCGGCCGCCGTTGACCGGTGGTTGACCGGTGTTGCTATTTTATTTTTAATTAATTTTTTAATTTTCAAAAATAAAAAAAAGGTGAGTTTTGGGGTTCAAAGTGGTGAGCTTTGCTTTATTTCCAGGTGAGCTTTGCATTGTCCATTGGTGAGCTTTGTAGTGTAGTGTGGTGAGCTTTGCGTCATCTGACTGAAGCATGTCATCGCACCGTAAGGTGTCATCTCACAGGAGTCAATCCCATATATATATATGTGTGTGTGTGTGTGTGTGTGTGTGTGTG